TTATCGCAGCTATAATAATGAGTTTGCAATGACGGTATACTAAACTTGTAGGGATTATAGGTCCCGGGGCCACGCCGGACCAAGCTGCTAGTTGGAAATACATTTAAATTAAAAATTTTAACCATCAATCCATTGTTTTTTCCCGCTTTCTCCTAGATCATTTCCAAGCCCTGTCACAATCTGCGTTACCTGCAGCGCCTAAGCTGCGCGGCGCGATAAGCAGGAGGCCGCTTATCAGGCCGGGGGAGATAACGAGTGTCAGCGCCTGCAACTACGCGTCTTTTGATGCTGCTTTGAGCGTTTAAATATCGCGTCTGTGACTCTAAACTAAGCATTCCTCGAGCTTTTTATACTAACCATTAAATCGTTCACCGTTTGCATCGGTTCAATTGGGAAATTTGTGTATGCAGCCGTTCTTTAAGGCTCGAGAAAACAATGAAATAATTAGGAAAATGTCCGTAAAGCCACCCGATTCCACTTGAGTTCTCTGGACTGAAGTTCACTAAGCGGTGATATCACTTATGAGTTATCAACAGAAATTCAACACAAAAACAAAATATTTAATTCGTCCTTAACACTCATTCTACTGCAGATCATCATTGCAGGCTAAAATATGTTGCAGAAGAATGCTTAAATTTCGAACCGCAAAATCAATCGAGAGACTCTAATTGTTGCTTCTCCCACTTTCGCAGAGGTGATTTATATGCCGTCACAGATTTTGATATCCAGAATAACCAGAATAAATATGTATGGGCACTTTTTGGATGGCAATTTGCTTATGTTAAGTGACTTTGAACATACAATTTGTTCACGTAACCTATTTCATTTGATTTAAATCCTGAAAAATTTTGATATTTTTAAATCCTATGAAAGAACAACAATTTATTGATGATTGATACGAGAAAGATTAAATTTACGATTTCGGTCAGGACTCGTCTCAGGCATTCTCCTCGATAAAGTCGTCCGCATCTGTAGACATACGCGATAAAGATTCAAATTCTAGTATTGAAAATGTCTAAGAGAGTTAAGAATCGAATAATTTCAGTTCCACCTAGCAAGGGCAATTTAAAATTGCAAAAATAATATGAATTTATCAAAATTTGTATGATTGTAATCCGGCACTTCAATATATATATGGGGGAAATTGAGGTGCGTGTCCAGGATACTCAAATTACTGCGTCGAGTTATAAAATACCTGGACCTGAGAATTTCAGGTCCAGGAAATTACCTGAAATAAATTCGCATTCCTGTAGCCCTCAAGGAAGCCGACTTCACCTGCCACGTTTGATCTACGCGCACTCGATCTTCCTGCACTTGATCTTATTGTACTTGATCTTATTGCACTTGATCTTCCTGCACTTGATCTTCCTGCACTCGATCTTCCTGCACTTTTAGTGTGTAGGAAGAAAGCGTCGGAATAGGATACAATGCCAGCAAATAGTAGGATAATTGACCTGGGGAAGTCAGCAGTAATTCAGCTTGCATGGTGACTCATTAGAAATTTAGCTGGAGAGAAGGAATTTCGAATGAGACCTTTGGGTGCAGAAATTACTACTTTTATACCTGAGGAGTCTCTCATTCTATTATATGCATGGATCCTTTATCTGGTCTCGTTTAAGTTGTAGAAGTGCGATGGAGGCTGCGGAACTCCGGCAGTTTCCTTCGTTGTTACCGAAGGCATTAATAAAAATAGATTAGTCTTTTCCACCATTCTTGTTGTCAATGATTTGAGTGACATGAAATATCAGACCTGCACGCAATATCAGAATTCATTTTTTCATATGGGTGCATCTAGGTTAGGGGAGCATAATCAGATGTAAAACACTAACATAAGTACAATATCTTCGTATGAATTTTAATTTTGAGAAAAAGTAAATGTACAGATAACGGAAAATAGGCCACTCCTAAAAATTTTGAACTTTCATAGCCATATAGCTGAAATTTTGAAAAGTAGTATTATATTCGTAACTTCAGAGACGATCGATTGTAGAGCTCCTAATTTTTTTACATGTACGGAGGTGTGTTTTTCTTACCAGCAATTTGTATCCTACGTCATGAAAATAAGTAATAAATTAGAAAAAAGGCTCCTGGGGCCATACTTTCAAAATTTGCCAAGTGAACGTAAGTACTTACGCTCTATTTTCTTATCTATGATTGGTGGATTTTGCTTGAAATGACGCCAATGATTGGCCGATGAACTTACGATCTCTTAACTTTTTTTGAAAGTATAGGCCCTGGAATCGATAGATATTTGCACTAGAAACCGAACGATATATATACTGATAATTTTGATCTTAAAGTTAAGGATTTATAAGCTAACAGCTGACATGTCAATAACATTTTTCTAGAGTTTGGTGGAGTTTCCAGTTGATTTGCGACAGTAATCACTTAATTACTAATTAAAAAAATGACTGAACCCAAAAGTCAGAAATTATTACCATCACTGCCTAGAGTTAAATTAACGGTTCGGTGAAGCCAAACTACTGAAACGGGTTCAAATGGCGTGGAGGTTAACAAAATTGCTTGGAACTGTACTCCCGTTTGTCCCATCGCCGGTTCCCATTATTCGCTACGCTACTCATATTTTTCCAGTTTGGAGTGAATGATGACATACGAACGAATTATTTTTAAATAATATATGTTCCGATTATAAAAATGAACAGTTTTAAGAGTCGAAACTTCCTCTGAACGCACATATATAGGCTACATTAGAAGCGTCTTGGGCAGCTACCAAATAAGCTCAACTAAATTGTTCGATTTTTGGCGTAGTGATGTTAATGATTTAAATGTCTGAACATTTTTTAGGTACAAATAATTTACATTAAATTCAATAACGTCAATCCTAGCTGGCAGTGTTGGTGCATATCAGAGCAGCGTGTCTATCATTCTAGATACGCAGCTATAGGCGCCTCACGTAAGTTCAGGTCTCGAATCGTAGATACAACGTGCATGCCTCAATTATTAGTTCCAGTCTAGTATCGTGAGTACAACAAGCATGCCTCACGTAAGTTTCTGTTTCGTATCGTGGATTCAACACGGATGTCTCACTAGGTTCACGAATTGTATCGTGGATACAATACGCACGCCTCACGTTAGTTGCAGTCTTGTATCGTCCTTGACAAAATTTAGAGGTGTGAGTGACCCTGCATTAGGGCCGCCTAGGACTCTGGCATCACGTAAATCAGCTTCTATCCCAAATAAAAATTAAGGGTGGCACACCGATGATTATAGGCGGCGATAGTAGTTTATAGGTGGCGTAATGGTGGGTGGCCAGATCTGCCAAAAAAACGAAATTAAAACATCGATAAACCGAGAGGGTGGCGAATATGGGTGGCAGTCATAGTAGAGTCATCGATGATTTATAAGGTCTGAATAATCGATAGCGCATGGCAGGCAAATCTCTTTTAAGCCATTGAAAACCGTTGCCTACACAGTGCAGGATTTGCCACTGTATTTTATCCGACTCAGAATGGTGTTATTGGGTTGCGGGTCATTCGAGATCAAGACGAAACCATGACTCCGTTCTGTGTGCTTGGCTTTTAAGATTAAGTTATGTTGAGAAAATTTTAGCGTGAATTCGGTAGGTACCAATAAAACTGACCGACAGAAGCAAGGTGTTCACAAATTTTTCAATCCAAAGTGAAGCCACTGGCCATGTATTAGACTGTGTCTGATATAAATTGTCCGAGGAACAATGGAAACTTTTGTTGCAATAAATACAGTTTTTCCATAGATGGCGGCGAATCCAATTTTTCATGTTCCCCTGAAATATTGCGTAAATTTATTGTGAATTTTGCTTACGCGCTAACTGGATGTTCTGGAAATATTGCGATCAATTGAGACTAATTATTGTATCATCAGGTATAAATTGTATGGATCGATGAGGTTTGTTCCATAATATTTTCAATATTCTCAAGTTGTCCCCTTTATCTAAACTCTAAAGCCACGTTGACGTAGTCGACAGCGGCTCGGCTCCTTTGTAATTAAGCACAGCGGCTAGGCAACAAGCGCAGCTAGTTAGACAAGTAAGCACACGTTCATACCGGTTGGGTTGACGCGCGGGTTGGCTTGACGCGCATCGACGTTGAGCATCCTTCTAATCTTTACCTTGTACTTCTTGAAACGTGTGCTTTCCGGATAATTTGCTTGTCACAAAAGTATCCTTTTTACGCAGAGGATATTAGTAAAAATTCGGTTATCCATCCTGATTTCGATAGTGAAATTTAATATACAGTCAGACAATTATTTTGATTTCAAGTCTAAATTTCTAATAAAGTGGCCNTTTTGCCAGGTACGTATCTTATCTTGTTGATGCCAATGCGGTTCCCGCTGTACCTGTACTCAAATATAAAGATTTCTTTAAGATTCGTAAATTCTTGTTAATCAAAATTTTTGCTTATCGTTGTTGAAATAAATGATTCATAAGGCACAATTTATTTCAATTCCCGCACGCAATTTTATCATAACGCTCTTTGAAATTCCGCATTTTTTTAAAGATTGAAGTAGCAATATCTATTAACAAATTACAATATTTTAATAAGATTGAACTAAATTGAGGCTAGATAGTTACTCCTTGCATTGGAACGTTTGAATTTATTTTATATAATATTTCTTAGCGTTTTTTACGTATTTAATAAATTCTTCAACAGCGATTTACTCTTCCAATGTGCATATTTTTTTAAAATTCGTAGGATAAAATATAATTAATAATATCCTGGCCGGCTAATGACCGAACGTCGAATATATTTAATAATATATTCAAATTATAATTCAGAATACATATATTTATCCAATAGGATTAAATATATTTTAGAATTGGAATCTTTCTTTCTTTTACTATATTCAGAAATTTCACATTTTTAATATTTCTATGCTTGCAGGGAAAGGTTTAATATCGTTGGCATTAAATTCAGTTCCTAATTATTGCCTGTGTCTGTTCAGTGCGTTTCCTCTTTCTGCAGATCCTGCAAGATGGCCGGCCCTGGACCAACTGGCGGATTTCCTGCACCAGCAGGCAGTGTGACAGAAAAAACACTTAAAATTTGCTTATGCAACATATTCGCTAACTTGAGTCTTAGTCCCATAGTCTTGGGAGCTCTCGTGAAGATAGAGTGTCAAGACAAGCATGATCATGAGACTTACATAGAATATCTGAATCGTCTTCGGGCAAAGAAAAATAAAAATTCTTTTTCGAATGCCGAATTGAAGAAAGAATTCTGTTTCAACTTAGAGAATTTCCAAAAAGAAACGAGCCCTGACAAGTTAGATGTCACTGCCCTTTGCAGTTTACTTTCCCACATTTTAACCAAAGTTAAGGAGTACGATTCAATCATGCTTAAAGATCTCAATAAGAATTTACATGATGTCAAGAAAATGCGAAACACTGTCTTACACAACATGGATCAACTTCTGAACGAGAAAAATTTCACTGATCTGACAACAATGCTGTTTGGGCTCATAGAAAAAGCTGACATATTCTATTCTTCCTCCCTGGGCCCTCAGGTTCCATATTTTCCCGCTGTAGACACAAAGCAAAAGCTTAACGACGAACTTGAAAAGGTTGAGAACCTGGACAAAAGTGACATTCATCGCTGTATTTCGCGGTTGCTTTTGAGCGGCAAAGAAGCGGTAGGGATGTTATGGGGGATCAAGCTGGACTACGAGGTTCTCTTGCTCGGCAACGACAAGGCTAATCGTCAGAAAGTGTTTCATCCTCTAGACGTGATGGTTAAAGAGCCAGCGAGCGAAGAATTCCTTTCATACACAAAAATTTTTGAAACCCCTGAGAATGTCGTCGTGGTTGCGGGCGTCGCCGGCGCCGGTAAGACAACCCTCGTCAAAAACATCGTACTGCAATTTTTCGACCTTCAACAGGGGACTGCTGATTACCTGAGTTCTTTTAACCAACTCGTCTTCTTCGAGTGCAGGGATCGCAGCATTAAAGAACTGAGTGACGTCATCGATAATCACTACAAAGACCTGTGTAGTGAACTAGGTAAAGAAAATGTCCTCGAGGCTCTCCTGCGTATCGATGTCTTATTCATCATCGATGGCTTCGACGAAATCAACGACAGTTCCAAAAAAGTCGTTATCGAGATTATCGAGAAAACGTGGCGCCGCAACTGTCGTGTGTTGATCACGACTCGTCCTCATGCCCTGGAGGAGAAGCTGGAGCCACTTCTGAAAAGAGAAGATGTCAGCTTTACACTGTACGAGATTATGCAGTTCAAGAAGCTTGAAGACCAACTTGCATTCTTGCGGCGGTATGAAGCATTTCTTTGCGCTCCGATTGGGGAGATGACGAAGAGCTTCGAGTCGCTAAGTGAGGATGTCAGAAATATATTCACCGAACCCATCAACTTGATTCATTTCTGCGAGATGCGTAAGCACTTCCCTGAGGAGATATCCTCATGGAAGACTTCAGGGGACGTGGCGCCTTCTAAGCTGCGCCTGTACAGGAAGCTCATCCAGAACAAACTAGCGGCCTCGATTGATACGGACTTGGGCGTCCTGGTGGACGACATGTTCGCTCTGGTCGGGGCTGAAGCCTTGCAGTTGCTCCGTGAAAACGTCGTGACTTTCTCAGAGGCAGAGTTGCTTGCCATAAAGCAGAGGTGTCACGTTGAACTGAAAGGTGGTGGCGAGGTCGATCATGCAGTTGTACTTTCAGAGGTACTGAAGGAGCACAAACCTTTCGGTTTGAACAGTAGTTCACGCTATGAATTCAAGCACAAGAGTGAGCAGGAAATGTTTGCTGGTCATTACATCGTTCAGCGCATCATTGGAGGGAGCGCCGACCCCCTCAATAGCATCCTGGGAGTCCCGACGGAGGAAATGACAAGGTATATATACGTGCTAATTAACCTGCTATACCTGCACGCAACGAGCCAGAGAGTAGCATGAAGCTTCCAGCCATGCGCAGTGAGCTGCATAACGTTTCCACCCATGAGCAGCGCCCCTGCGAAATATTCCCATCCATAAAAAGTGAGCACCTCAAAGTTCTCATTCATGAGCAGTGACAGCACGAAGCTCTGAGTCATAAAAAGTGAGCACCACAAAGTTCTCATCCATGAGCAGTGAGCAGCACACAGCTCTCAGGAATGAGCAGTAAGCAGCATTAAGCTCTCAGTCCTAAAAAGTGAGCACCACAAAGCTCTCATCTATGATCAGAGAGCAGCACAAATCTCTCATCCATGAGCAGAGAGCAGCACAAAGCTCTCAGCTTTAGCAGTGAGCAGCACAAAGCTCGACTCAGCCATGAGAGTGAGCAGCTCAAAGCTCTCAGCAATGAGCAGTGAGCAGCATAAAGCTCTCAGCAATGAGCAGTGAGCAGCATAAAGCTCTCAGCCGTGAGCAGTGAGCAGCACAAAGCTCTCAGCCGTGAGCAGTGAGCAGCACAAAGCTCTCAGCCGTGAGCAGTGAGCAGCACAAAGCTCTCAGCCATGAACAGTGAGCAGCACATGGCATATGCCGTGGCATAACTCAACGGAATCGCTGACCTCGCAACGCCAGCATCTAAAAATATTTCAATAACCCGAAGGCATCGAATTGATGATATCCGCTGAGTCTCTTGGATGAATATTTCTAACTCGTATTGATTTACACGTTTCATATTTAATTAATGTCGTCTCTGTATTGCTGAGTTCAAAATTATCTTATCAATTATCCCGCTTCATATAATGTGCTCCCAATCCTTCCCTCGGCCTCCCCCATCCCCCCGCTTACTAACCACTCCCCCCACGCCACAATGCTGCTCCTACACCTCCTACTTACTATTGTATTTACCCTCCTACTTATTATTGTATTTACCCTCCTACTTATTATTGTATTTACCTCCTTCTTACTATTGTATTTACCTCCTTCTTACTATTGTATTTCCCCTCCTACTTACTATTGTATTTACCCTCCTACTTACTATTATTTTTACCCTCCTACTTTCTATAGTATTTACCCTCCTACTTACTATTGTATTTACCCTCCTACTTACTATTGTATTTACCCTCCTACTTACTATTGTATATACCCTCCTACTTACTGTTGTATTTACCATCCTACTTACTATTGTATTTACCCACCTACTTACTATTGTATTTACCCTCCTCTTTACTATTGTTTTTACCCTCCTCCTTACTATTGCATTTACACTCCTCCTTACTATTGTATTTGCCCTCCTACTTGCCATTGTATTTACCCTCCTACTTACTATTGTATTTACCCTCCTGCTTGCTATTGTATTTACCCTCCTACTTAATATTGTATGCACCCTCCTACTTTCTATTGTATTTACCCTCCTACTTAATATTGTATTTGCCTTCTTACTTTCTATTGCATTTACCCTCCTGCTTAATATTGCATTTACCCACCTACTTACTATTGCATTTACCCTCCTATTTACTATTGTATTTACCCTTCTCCCTACTATTGTATTTACTAACCAACTTACCATTGTATTTACCGTCCGACTTACTATTTTATTACCCTCTTACTTACTATTGTATTTACCCTCCTCCTTACAATTGTATTTACCCTCCTACTTACTATTGTATTTACCCTCCTACTCTCTACTGTATTTGCCCTCCTACTTACTATTGTATTTGCCCTCCTACTTACTATTGTATTTACCCTCCTGCTTAATATCTGTCTCTTATACACATCTAGATGTGTATAAGAGACAGGAGTACGATTCAGTCATGCTTAAAGATCTCAATAAGAATTTACATGATGTAAAGAAAATGCGAGACACTGTCTTACACAACCCGGATCAACTTCTGAACGAGAAAAATTTCACTNTGTAATGCCCCAGGCTGCGGGAGGTGCTGCTGTACGTGGTGGCGGCCCTCAGCAGGGACAGCCCCCGCCACCTCACGCAGCGGTGGGGGGAGCTGAAGGAGGCCCTGAGGGAGGCCGGCGTCACCGGCGTCCGTGATGTGATGGACTGCGTCGCGCGCTGCCCTGACGCGGGGATATTGGGCGACCTCGTCGGGGGCGAGAGATGGAACGTCGTGGAAGGTGGGTACAGGTACGGGTACGGGTACGGGTACGGGTACGGGTACGGATACAGGTACGGGTACAGGTATGGGTACGGGTACGGGTACGGGTACAGGTACGGGTACGAGTACGGGTATGAGTATGGGTACGGGTACGGGTAAGGGTACGGGTCCGGGTACGTGTACGGGTACGGGTAATGCAAGTGCAAGTGCAAGCGCAAGTGCAAATGCAAGTGCAAGTGCAAGTGCAAGTGCAAGTGCAAGTGCAAGCGCAAGTGCAAATGCAAGTGCAAGCGCAAGTGCAAGTGCAAGTGCAAGTGCAAGTGCAAGCGCAAGTGCAAGTGCAAACCTAAGCTCTAGTGCAAGTGCAAGTGCAAGTGCAAGTGCAAGTGCAAGTGCAAGTGCAAGTGCAAGTGCAAGTATAAGTACAAGTACAAGTACAGTTGCAGCCTTTCAGGTGCAGCCTTATACAGGTGCAGCCTTACAGGTACAGCCTTACAGGTGCAGTACAGTAGAGTTACGTTGTGGTTGCCCACAGGTCGCAATGTTGCTGTTGTACCTATCCTGCTGCGACATGGTCGTCCATCTCGCGTGATGGTGGACATAGAGGCCGCGGCCCTGAGGAGGGAGCCGTGGAGGGCGCTCGTGGCGGCGGCGTGGGGCGTGGAGGTCAGGTTGACGCTCCGCCCCCTCGACGACTACGAGCCTCATGACGACCTCCTTCTGCCGCTGCTCAACAGCGGGTAAGAACCTGCACTGATAGGAAAAAAGGCCCCCGTTTTGAAACACTTGGGTGTTTCAAAGCCTTCCAAGCTCGACGCGTTTATATTTGTGCGGCTGGCGTCGTGTGGTCAGTGCGCCGAATGCTGTCATTGGAGGTGGTTGTGTGTGAATAGAACGGAAGCAAACGAACAAACTCCCAACAAATAAAATGGAAGATGAGGACGTGTTCAGGCTTCTATCATACGAAATAGAATCGCTGGAGTCGGATTTCATTCCCTCAGGGCAAATCTGTAAGGAAGATGCAACACCAGCGACCGCATCAAAAGACAACATGGCTCAAGTGGCAAGCCTCGTCTTAGAGTTGAAACCACAATTCCGAGAGCTATCGTTATTAAAGAACTGGTCGTCAAGAACGAAGAGTGCCCTGGCGGAAGACCGCCCTATCGCTCAGTTTGATAAATAAGGAATCACCGCGCTTGCCATCAAGATACTCGTCGTAATCACAGCATTTCTTAAATGATTGGAAGAGAGCTATTCAAAGAGCTGAAATGGATTTTACTCGGCTATGGAGCAGAGAGATGGAGTAACAATGAAATGGCAGCAAGCTGGTGTGGCGGAAATTGAAGGATCGAGCGGTTATGAAACTAAAGGGTAATGAATCTAACGACTCGCCTGGCAAACCCCCTCACCAAGGCGAAAGGAGGAGATCGGACTGATAATAGTATAAAAAATAAAACCTGCTCTCTAGTAGAGCCACAAATATCTTAAGAAATAATATTCATGTTTCTCATCTCCATCATCTGCCTAATGGGAGAGATTTTCTTCCAAGCCGTTGTTATGGTAAATAAAGATTCTGTTTGAATAAATATAAATAATAAATATAATAAAGGTAATTTCAAGTAATTTTATGTAAATGAATATAACAAAGTTACGACCCACGTTGGCCTACTCCGCTCAATACGAGTAGAATCCACATGCATGGCTCTCATAGGAGCCCTAGCCTCGAGGCAGTTCTCAGATACGAGCGCACATGAGGCAGCGGACCTCCGCATAGGTCACTCGGTCGGATGATATTAACATAGACCAATAACGAGACTAATATATATGACATCTAGAAAGCAAAACCTACCACGACCATAAAGCCTGTGTTCTGAATAAAAGTATAAGAACAGGGAGAGGTTAAAAAGATAAAAGGACAAAATAAACATATAGATAATATAAAAAACAGCAGAAATTTACCTAAGCCAAACACGGCAGTAAATACTCAAGAAAACCGGAAAACCCAACCCAACCTAACCTAACCCACCTCATATTTGTTCTAAAATACAACCAGGAAAACATCACGGTTGCAACGCCTATGAAAGAAGGTAAATATAAAATCCAGAAGGATCTCGCTCAAATTGATACGAACGAAATAAGTAAGTAATAAAAACTCGAATAACATGAAGAAAAAAGTAACGTGGAGAAAAAAAAGACTCGGAACATTACACAAATTCCCAAGCCCGGGTGTAAATCAGTTTCCATTCTACCGAGCTATATCAAAAATCTATCAAACCTGGAATTATGTACAGATGAGATCAAAGTACTTTCAAAAGGCTTAAAATTTATCTCATCGCCGGGTGAACCAAAGTTTTATGACCTAGCCAAGGCACTGGCGCATCTCACAAGAAGTATGAACTTGAGAACTTATTTTCGAAACAATAACAGAGACTCGATACCATTCGTAACGAAATCAAACTGGAATCCTCCCATACTTGAAAGCATGCCACTGAAAAATTATTTTAACAGAACTAAATACGAGCTAAAGAGATTACCAACTCAAAGAATTAAAAACAATCTTTCCCACAGGGATAGACTTGCGCTGAGGTCTCTACAAAACAATCAAAACATTATTATAAAACCAGCGGATAAAGGACGCGCAATCGTTATCTTAAACAGAGAGGATTATCAACTGTCGAGAAGCATCGCATGACCAAACATTACAAAAAACTACAATACAACCCTATGGACAAGCTTCACCAGAGAGTTCAGCTTAAGTGCTGGAAACTTAAAAACAAAGGGCAAATAGACTCAAAAACATATGCGTTCCCGAAACAAAAACGGAAAGAACTAAGGACTCCAACCATATTTATGTTGCCTAAAATACACAAACAAACGCAAAACGATAAGAAATTTGTGGGAAGACCCATAACCTCGGCCTGTGGTGGACCCTGTGAAAGAATAAGCGAACTTGCGGATTATTTTCTCTTACAATTGTCAAAAATAAAAAAAAACATATTTGAGAGACAGTCATGAACTGCTAAACATATTGAAAACACTGAAATTGAGCCCAAACGTCCTCCTAGTATCAATGGATGTTGTATCAATGTATACAAACATCATATTAAGAGAAGCAATTGACGTAAATCTGAAGGCCTATGATGCCAGTGTATTCCCGTATAAAATTAAAAAGATCAATACGTTGGACTTCGGAGAAATCTTAGAGCTGATACTTGAAACAACTTCCTGGAATTTAATGGAACGTTCTATAAGGAGCAGATCGGACTAGCAGACTAGCACAGGGTTCGAAATGCTCACCCGAAAATGCTGATATATCCCTTCACTCATTGGAGAGAATTTTGGTAGACCAAATTCCCAAACTGATTATGTATCGAAGATACAGAGATCCTGAGCGTAGCAGAAGAGAAGGATCTCAAAAGCTTTCTGGAGAAAATCAACATAACGCACGAGTCTTCAAAATTTACAATTGAAATAAGCAGTCATGAGCTTAATTTTCTTGATCTCACAATATATAAAGGGGAAAACTTCCGTAAGAACGGAGTGTTGGACACCAAAACTTACTTCAAACCTACTGAAACTTTCGAGTATATTCAGGCCTCAAGCGCGCACCCCTCATTTTGCTTGAAAGGTTTTGTGAAGGGCGAAATATTAAGGCACAAACGGAACAGCAACAATGTTCCGGATTTTATAAAAATTACCCTTATTTTCTATAAATACCTGAGACAAAGAGGTTACAGCAAAGCGCTGTTTTTGGAACAAATGAAGGAGGCTATGAGCGAAAAAAAAATCAGAAAGGCCAAAACGACACAACCTGTTTTTTAAACTAAAATATAACCCGCAAACATCAATAAATGACTTGAGGCAAGCTCTGTGTAAACATTGGCACCAGATCGATGGAGACGAGGATCTTCGATCACTTTTCCCGACACCGCCAATGATCTCCTACAAACGACATATGAACCTGCGTGAGTTCCTGGTAAAGTCTAAACTTGGAAAACCAATAACAAAAAACGGAGATCTAGATATCTTAGTTAATCTCGTTTGAGCATAAATAACAATAACCAGAGCTGGGCAGCGCTACTTTGAAATGTAGCGCCGCTACCGCTACATGCTCTAAATGTAGCGGGCGCTACCGCTACCGCTACATCCACTTGATTGTAACGGGCGCTAACGGGCGCTACTGCTACCGCTACAGTAAAATGTAGCGCGCTACATTAGCCGCTACAATGGCCAAAATTATTAGAGATCTCTTAATATTTATTGTTCTGCTATTGGGATTTACTCATAAACATTAAATGAGAATAAAACATTTTCAAAACATATCAATTCAACTTTATTGCAATTAACCTAACCAAACTAGTACTGGTTACTGTGGTTTGACACAGCAAATAGAAGTTAGTTATTTACTTATTTTTATGTTTTACCTTCCCTACATGGATGTCTACTTTAATCTACCAATCTCAAAAAGTATCCACATATATGTACAAATAAAAGACTGATTTTTTATATATAGATTCAAGTAGACATCCATGTAGGGAAGGTGAAACATAAAAATAACTGTAAGCAAACTGAAACATGAAAAAATACCTGTAAGTGGTAACTGGTAACAACATAAGGGGGGCGTCTACCCTAGAGTTTCCGGTTTTTAGTCTCATCTTAAAGCTGACATTCTGCCCTATCCAATGGTATCATTACCATCTCTGTACGTTGATTTATGCGTTCACGACAGATCATGGAAGGGAGGAGGGTGGGGGAGTTCTTTAACAAATAGAATAGGAGGAAATTCACTGCGAGCACTTTAAATAGAGTGTCGGCTTAAGGTGCACCTTAGTTACCCGCCTGGCGTCGTATGAGGAGGTGTGCATGCAGTCGCTCCCACCATCCTTGACTGGAATCAATCTCCTATAAAGTTTATTTTTGTATCCTTGCTACATTGAGTGCCTATTGCGATGCGCTCGGGGCTTTGTCACGCTCTCCTGAACATTCACACTTATTGCCACGGCAAACCTATCTCCTCCTAGAGTTTTGAAGCTACAGCGATGAGACATATACCATTCGATTCGTAAAGACCATACCTATCGAGTTATCGAGCCTTTTTAGATTTGTGCATAGTTTGTATTTAAAATGAGAGGGAGGGGGAAAAATTTGAAGAAAATAAGAAAAAATGAGAAGAAAACGGAAAATTGCGTGTAAAAATTTTAAGGCAAAAATCAAAAAAGGGCTCGATAACTCGATAGGTATGGTCTTTACGCATCGAATGGTATGCGTCTCAATGTTGTAGCTTGAAAACCCTAGGAGGAGATAGATTTCTACAGTACCCCTTTTTGTCCGTTTTCTATAAATTTCACGTTTTCTATTAATTTTCCTGAAAAAATCATACGAACAAAATGTTCTTGTATTTTGGTTTCACATATATGTGTGAAATTTCAGAAAGATCCGTTAGTAAATGTGGAAGTCTTTCTGGAGGGTATACCCCCCTTAAGTAAAATCTAAAGGCTTTATCTATAAATGTAGCGGTAGCGCTGTAGCGGCAAAACCTCGTATCGCTACTTAAATATGTAGCGGGCGCTACCGCTACCACTACATTGCCGTAAATGTAGTGCCGCTACCGCTACCGCTACTGAAAATGTAGCGGCCGCTATATGTAGCGCGCTACTGCCCACCTCTGACAATAACTAAATGAAAAAGTATGTAAAAATGGATTGCTGGTTCATTACAATGGATTGCAGGTCCATTACTATGGATTGCTTGTCCATTACAATGGATTGCTGGTCCATTACTATGAATTTCTGGTCCATTACAATGGATTGCTGGTCCATTACAACGGATTGATGGTCCATTACTATGGATTGCTGATCATATTCATGCCTCCCCTAACCCTCCTGGGGGACAGGGTGAGGCTGGTGGAGTTCAGCGGCTGCGTGGGCACCTGCGCTGGGACGGCCACCCTCACGTCCGTGGCCCGCGACGCTGTCCTCTACATCCGCATGGCGGCGCCCCTGGACCTCAGCGCCCTCGGGGGGACATACGAGTTCTTAGGTGAGTCTTTCCCAGCACGGGGGGCGGCGCCCCTGGTCCCGTGGGCACCGTACAATTATGTATTGTATAGTCGTTATTTATTGTAATGTTTGGTGATTATTCTGCAGGATAATCAACAAATAACAAATAATCACATAACATAAACTATTAAATATATGTAGTGAAATATTTAGTAATAAATATATATATGTATATTGTATAGTTCCTACATACCATATATGAAATATTATGCATATTGTTATAAAAAATATTGTATCACTATTAACCTCAATATTTATCATATTGTCATAATGATGTTACTATTATAATATCGTTATAAAGATGTAATAATGTTTATAATTTGTTTATGATATCCTTATTATTTGACCTGCGCAGTTGTGTGCACGCGCCCCCTCCTGCCCCCTGGCCTCCCCTCCCCCACGTGGCCGCTGCCCCCCTCCCCCCTGCCATGGCTGATCGTGGAGGGGGCAGATGAGGGGTCCTGGGGGGCCGTGGCCCACACCATCACTTCTCTCGCCCCCCCTGGCAAGAGGTGCGTAGCCCCCCGACCCCCGCGGGGGGAAATGGAGTTCTATTTGTTATACATCGTACAGTTATACATCGTTTAGTTATGCATCGTTTAGTTATACATCGTTTAGTTATGCATCGTTCAGTTATGCATCGTTGAGTTATGCATCGCTTAGTTATGCATTGCTTAGTTATGCATCGTTTAATTATGCATCGTTTAGATATGCATCGTTTAGTTATACATCGCATAGTTATACATTTGAATCGTTTGAATCTTTATTGACCTATAGGTTTCCCTATAGGTGTTTGCATTTAGTGATCGTTGGTAAGTTTGGGGGACGACCAAGTTGGGGGCGTTGTGTGTCTGGGGGAATGACACTGCAGTTTGTTTGCCCAGGTTCGGGTGGCTAGGGGTGCGGGCCTGCAGGCTGCGCGCCGTGGAGCTGCCGCCGCTGCTGCAGAAGCTGAGAGACGAGGGCCTGAGGACGGGCGTCGAGGGCGGCACGGACGACGAGGGCGACACGCGCGCCGAGGTTGACGAGTGAGTGGACGGCTGCCACTAAACTGTGGGCCAATGTTACTATATTGCTGAATGAGCTAATGTATAGACTACAATGATATTGTTTATGAATAGCGTCAAATGGGGGTAATAAAGGACGGGCTTTGTAAATTGGGACAGTCGGCCCACATTTCGTAGAAATGTTATAGCAGCTGGACTAATCAAAATATTGCAAAACCAAAACCAATGGAATGAAGTTCAACATTTTTACTATCTATGTAGCATAAAGCAATTTAAGAAATCATACATTTACTACCTCAAGAAAATCCCTGAAAAAAGTGTGAGAAGTGAGACTTTGAAACGTACCCCTGCTAAGGTCTGTAGCAAAAAATATGTTCGCCGTCTCAAAAAATATTACCTGCATAAAAGTTGCACACAGGAGGTGTGCAACGTATCATTCCCCCAAAAATATGGCCATTTCAGCAGTACGGGGTAATAAGGGACACCCCCTCGGGGTAATAAGGGACACCCCTAAAAACGCATATACAGTAGAAACTCGATTAGCAAAGGCTCCAATTAACAAAAAATCAATCAACAACAAAATTTTTGGCTATTTACATCGCTCAGTGAAAAAAAATTTCACTTGCCGAAAAATTAATGCATCATCAGTCATCACAATATTGTGCACAGAATGTCATATAAAGAATTGTGCAACGGGCAACTTAAAATGAAAACTAATTAACCTAAACCATGATTAATTTCTACAAAAAATATGATGATTTTCACTAGAATATTACTTTCTATTTTGGGTATGTTTTTAAAATCTTTTTTTATAGTGAATTCACTTGACCGAATTAAAATGGTGTGTAATTACAAGCCATCCTGAAAGCTTACAGATACAGAATAAATGCCGTACGTCTGCTGATAAGAAGCTTGCAGTGGACAAGGTTGTTGTAAATGCTCAATGGCATGTCCATGGATACGGTAATATCGCATCAATACTACGGTAATGTATGGATATGGCAATATCTTATCAATAAAGGATAAACAAGTAAAAATCACAGAAAATGTCATTTATTCTACATGTACATCATCTACAAAGGAACAGGAGGGCTTCAGATTACTGTTAGTAATAGATGAGCACACTCTGCATGCTTCAAACGTTTCAAAATTGAGTTTTATTTCAAGTGTCCCGGATTATCCTGTTTCCAGGGGTAATTTGGGACGCTTTTATTTTGCGTCAGGCACCTTACGATTACCATATGGAATTTTTTTGAAGATGCCTTACAATAGCCCTTGCAAAGAGCTATAAAATGAGCCCAAACTTCTTATGAAATGTTTCATGGTAAGAAGTTACTGAAGAAAAACTCTCAAAACCGTCCCTTATTACCCCGTTTGACAGTAATTGTGTCTGATGGCCGCCGCAAGTTGAAACAAAATGGCGGCCGATGATGTTGACCGCCCACTCTGAAGGCGTCCAATCATCGGACACAGCGCCATCATCATGACAATCTTCATTTGACATATTAGAATAATGATAGGTCGTCATTACTGTTAATCCTATATCTTAACCTGAAATTGTATCATTAATATCTATATTTACATAAGTAATGTATTTATTTTATTATATATTATTTTATATTATATTATAGCAAAATAACACATAACATATATTTATTATTACAACAAATATACATAATTCTTAACCTATATCATTATTATTTTAATATATGAATGATAAGATGATGGCGCTCCGTCATTGGTCGCCATTTGACGGCCAATGGAAGCGCCACACAAGATGGCGGCGGCTGGCATGCCACATGCCACGCAGGATATTCACTGCCGTACTCCCACAGCTGGCATGCCACATAGGATATTCACTGCCGTTCTCCCTCAGCTGGCATGCCCCATGCCACGCAGGATATTCACTGCCGTTCTCCCTCAGCTGGCATGCCACATGCCACTGATTGATGAGGCTGTGTGCGTGTTTTGTGTGGGATTAATGAGGCGGTGTGCGTGTTTTGTGTGGGATTAATGAGGCTGTGTGCGTGTTTTGTGTGAGATTAATGAGGCTGTGTGCGTGTTTTGTGTGGGATTAATGAGGCTGTGTGTGTTTTGTGTAGGATTAATGAGACTGTGTGTGTGTTTTGTATGGGATTAATTACGCATTGTGTGTTTTGTGTGGGATTAATGAGGATGTTTGTGTATTTTGTGTGGGATTGATGAGGCTGTGTGCGTGTTTTGTGTGGGATTAATGAGGCTGTGTGCGTGTTTTGTGTTGGATTAGTGAGGCTGTGTGCGTGTTTTGCGTTGGATTAATGAGGCTGTGTGCGTGTTTTGTGTGAGATTAATGAGGCTATATGTGTGTTTTGTGTAGGATTAATGAGGCTGTTTGTGAGTTTTGTGGGATGTGTGGGATTAATGAGGCTGTGTGCGTGTTTTGTGTTGGATTAATGAGGCCGTGTGTGTTTTGTTTGGGATTAATGAGGCGGTGTGTGTTTTGTGTGGGATTAATGAAACCGTGTGTGTGTTTTGTGTGGGATTAATAAGGCTGTGCGTGTGTTTTGTAGTGTAATAAGAGTGTGTGTGTGTGTTTTGTATGACGCACGGATGTCCCTCGCTTCACTGGCATTATATATCGCCGCATTTAACGGCCTAGCCAGTCTATTTGCAGTTTGATATCATTTTATATAATTAGTTTTTACATAATTTTATTTGTAACGCAATTATTTTGATATTTTGTTGAATGAGTTTTAATATATGAACATAGTTCTTGTTCATAATGAAAACAATAATGAAAACTTAATGAAAATTGTCTTCATAATTTATGAACATATTTCCTGTATTGTTGCAGGGCAGAGCAGAGTGCTGAGCTTGTTCCTCACGTCTTGCTGGCGTCAAACATCAATGATGGCGACGAGGAAGAGAGAGACAGGGAGAGAAAAAATATAACTCCCACTGAGAGAAATGGGTGGGTCTGGATGACCCACTTAGGTGAGTCATGGCCCGTCCCATAATTGATCTACTTGTATGACCCACATCCCCCAGATGTGGGTCATGCTGACCTACTGCTGGCCCTCTAACTCCCAATTCTTGACCCACTTGTGGCGCCAATTACCTTGCTTATAGCACGAACCAAATGTTTGTACCGTACGTGCAGTGTTATTGAGAAGGAATAATCAGACAAATAGCATTCAACGAAATGTATTGGAAAACGGCTCTGCTGGCTAAATAAATGTATTTATATCGTCTAAATCTCGTCATAATCCTTTAATGCATAGTAAATTTCTGCCTAAGTCACAATGCATGAATACTGGTGCCTACACGCTCAGCAAAACAAGAAAAAATGTGAGTTAAATGGCACAAAACGCTTATTATCGCAATAATGCGAGAACAAAAGTCAACGGCTTAAATAGCATTCGCAACATAAAATAAATGTTCGGTCGCTGGAAAATATATTCCTCTGAAATACTACGTTGCAAAACAATGTTAATTCTTACTAAAGACCATAGTTATCTAAATGATGCGAGATCAAAAATCAACCACTAAACTAGCATTCGCAACATAAAATAAATGCTCAGTCGCTGGAAAATAGTCCTCGGAAATACTTTGCAAAGCAATGAAATAAAGTTAGTGAGCAATAAAGTAATGCCAAAAAGCAAAAAAAAAATAATATTAAATTCACGTCACTAATCCCTGGACTATACAGGCATGAGAAGCTGCTGATGAATCAAATAGTCGAATTGTAGTCATTACTGATCGAATCATTTAATTTAATGGTTAGGGCAGCTACAGCCATGGGCGTTTTTGTTGTGTCTTTGAAGCCTAAAATTGTCTTTTGAAGAAAACTCAAGGTGTTCTTGTGGGTTGAAGGATAGGAACAATTCAAAATGTAATAAAGAGCAAGCCAAAGAACGGTTGCATTCAAAAGACCCTTTGTACTACAGATCGTACATTTTTCGGCAACTAGCTCAATTGGAGTATCGACTGCCGAAGCTCGAGACATATTCTCAAGAGATTTTGCATTTTCTAGCGCCTTTTCTGTGGGCATGTTTTTCCTGTTGTTACCATGACCTAGAGTGACGGGCATAAAATCATCACTTGACAGCAAAACTTCGCCAGTTGATGGCATCAAGTAGGTTGCATCAGGAGGGACACCAGAAGAAGATCCAGAGGCAGCAGTATCTCGAACACTGGACTGAGCCTCGTCCACCGAGGTGGCTGAAGTGCTTGGCTTCGGAACCGTCATAATAAGATGAGGCGCCAGTTCCTGAAATTTAAAGAGGTATGTTATCACAAAATCAAATACAGCTTATCAGCGAAGTTATTGATATGGCCTGTTCAACATAAAATAAGAAGAGGCGCCAGTTCCTGAAATTTGAAGAGGCATGTTATCACAAAAACAGTGCAGTATTTAAACGAAGTAAGTGATTAATAAATTATTATGAAGACAAATGTTTCATATTAATATCAAATAAATATGAAGGCAACTTAACAATAAATTTTAATCTAAAACTCTTATAAGCGAAATTGAATGTTATTTCTGTGATTGTGACGACCAAGTCCATGTAGAATGACCCTACTGACTTCATTCAAATCTGATTCGACGCCAACGTGAAGTTCCTCTTTCAGCAGCGAAGGCAGGTGGCAGAGCGCTCTACAACATCGTTGCTCTGAAAAACAATAAAATTTTTAAGAATTCATTTGATATCAGAGGATTTTTTAAGGCTAACGAACAATTAATTCATGGTTTATGGCTTAGAACATTGCAACATCACATCTTCAAAGAAAGCTAATCTATTCACAGAATACGATGCAATCGAGGTAAATTATGTACCTTTTTTTACCTCATTTCCTTAACGATATAATTTTTTTAAATACGTAGATTTCAATAAACAATAACGATTCAATCTTTAATAATTTGTAAGTCGATCATTGAGAGCACAGAAATGGTAGAGACGGACAGTAAATATAGCATGAATTGAATTGCTTCTGTTGGGTTTACCTTCGATGTCATCCGCTGGTGCATCTAGCAGAGACATCAGATCCGTGTGGTCTTTGGCAAGGTGTAAAATAGCTGGAGCATAGGCTATGAGCCTCTTCATCATCACTTCCATGATATCCATTCCAGTGAGACGTCGAAATTCCAGGATGATCTGAGAATCAGAAATTACATTTTTTTATTTTTTCATTAGTTATATCAAATGAATTCACTGCACAGCGCCATAGAAGTTAACGATACATCGCAAAGGATGAATTCGATACACTTATTCCACCAACCTGCTGTTCGTCAAAAAGGAACGGGAAATCGCTCTTCAGTTTCTGAATCTTGACCATTTCAGTTACAATAAGTCTGCGACGGTATGGAAAGGTCTTGTCCATAAGGTCATCAATCTTCCTCGTGTCCTTAAAGTTCTTTTTATAGTCATTGATCATGACCCATTGGTGCCGCGCCATAGCAGCATCGTCATCCGCCAAAGTATTAGGCGGTAAATAATTGAGCACTCCAAACGGTGGTTTACATTTGACAGCGCGCCGCAACTTATTTTCGCTCGAATTCTTTACACTTTTAGTCGGTGTTGAATTTAGCTCGTTTTCATTTCGAGGACTTGCTGATGATTCTGAATTGCTGGACAAGAGCGTACGCCTCCGTCCACGGTAGGCTTCGACAGCTGGTACTTCAAGGTCCCGTCGCTTCCTCGTGTTCCTTAGCTTCTCGGATAGACGAGTTCTCCAATAGACCTGGAAGTTAAATTTCGAGGAAACCAGAATTACATACTCAAAGCATTTCATATACATTCTGAATTATTAAAATGTAAGGTATACAAGGCAATTCCTGGAGTCGAAATTTTTAAATTTAAATGCATAATTTTAGAGCTACCACTACTATTATTAGGTTTTAGGTCATATATATTTAACCAATAAAAAAATGATTCATGAATTACCACGGAATCTCCAAAGGGAAGAGGAGCCAGAAATGGGTATTTCTTCACAATTTCAACCGCAACGGACTTGTACTGACTTGGAGTAGGATAACTGAAACATAAATTTTTGTAAATAAAAAATGTTACGTTCTATGCTCACTAATATGACGTTTGGAGTTATTTAAATACAATTCTAAAACATTTAGCAGTAAGCAGTTGTGACCAAATGCTCAATTTATACGCAAAACTGTGTTTATAAATACAGTTCACTGATTACTGAACCTTTTAATTATTTTCAAGAGGTTTAAAGCCAGATGTCGCTTTTTAGCCAAAAGTTTTTGCACAAGATTAGCCATCAAAAGAGCATATCATGATAAAAATGAACAACTCACAATGTGTAGCGGGTGATGGCTTCATAGAGATGATTCATTAACAGAATTACATGAGGTTTCCGCAATGTTTTCTTCTGATGGAGAGCGTTTCTGAGGCTTGTAGGTAATGTGTCCTCATCAATTGAAAATTTATCTGGCCATTCAACCTGGTCCTTTGAGTGGAATGAATCATCTGCCACGAGTAAAGTCGAGGTACTTTGCGAATTGGGTAAATTTGTGTTTTTTGGAGAAACAAGTTCTTCTGATGAGACAAAGGGTTCGCCAGTGTCAGAAGCCTCCATCATTTCATTTCTGTAAACCAAAATTCTTAGATTAATGAAAGCTGCTACCCGACTTGTCAATAAGAACTTTCAAAAATTTTAACAACAGGTAAAAATAATAATATTTGATATACTCAATCTGGAGCAGGCCTATGTATGCAGATGTAACAAGAATTTGGCGAGTAGAAGCTCTCCACATCAACTAATACATTTTTAACGATTATCCTTAATCAATATAATAAATTAATAGATAAGATGACTATTTACATCAAAAGTTATGAATATCATTTACCTTTTTCCATCATCCAGATCCAGCAAGTTAATGAAATTCATCCTCAGGATGCCAACATCAGGTAACTCTGATGGTTGAACTTCACAGTAGGCCTTAAAATCTTCGTCATAACATTCCAGAAAGCAAGATGTTAGAGGAGGAAGATCTTCTATTCTTGTGCTGAGTATAGCATAAGCTTCAGCTAACAAATGTTCTTTATTTTGGCAAGTTACTTTCACAATTCTGTTTTTGCACTTAATCAAGTACTTCATTTTACATGCATGTAAATATTACTAGTTTTTCTGCACAAAATGAGACATGACAACAAGTTCAAAATCACCGCATGAATACATTGAAAGGGGATATGGACTTAGCAATTGATTGAATCATCTGCCACGTGTAAAGTCGAGGTACTTTGCGAATTGGGTAAATTTGTATTTTTTGGAGAAACAAGCTGTTCTGATGAGACAAAGGGTTCACCAGTGTCAGAAGCCTCCATCATTTCATTTCTGTAAACCAAAATTCTTAGATTAATGAAAGCTGCTACCCGACTTGTCAATAAGAACTTTCAAAAATTTTAACAAAAGGTACAAATAATAATATTGATATACTCAATCTGGAGCAGGCCTATGTATGCAGATGTAACAAGAATTTGGCGAGTAGAAGCTCTCCACATCAACTAATACATTTTTAATGATTATCCTTAATCAATATAATAAATTAATAGATAAGATGACTAGTTACATCAAAAGTTATGAATATCATTTACCTTTTTCCATCATCCAGATCCAGCAAGTTAATGAAATTCATCCTCAGGATGCCAACATCAGGTAACTCTGATGGTTGAACTTCACAGTAGGCCTTGAAATCTTCGTCATAACATTCCAGAAAGCAAGATGTTAGAGGAGGAAGATCTTCTATTCTTGTGCTGAGTATTGCATAAGCTTCAGCTAACAAATGTTCTTTATTTTGGCAAGTTACTTTCACAATTCTGTTTTTGCACTTAATCAAGTACTTCATTTTACATGCATGTAAATATTACTAGTTTTTCTGCACAAAATGAGACATGACAACAAGTTCAAAATCACCGCATGAATACATTGAAAGGGGATATGGACTTAGCAATTGACGGACATTTACAAAAAATGATTTTGTGGTTTCAGTCAAAATATATCCGTGCAGATGATTGCTAAATTGAAATTCAGACATGATTTTGCCTAAACAGTAAATTTCTCCACATATATAAGTCATCTTTTTTATACATCCAAAAATGTAAGAGTCATTTTTGAAACCTATAACCACACACAAATTTGCACAGTACTGCACTCCATTGTACTTCACTGAGTTACAGAGAGATATGTTGGTTTCAGAGCCGGACACTGGAAGAACAACATCTAAATCTTCCAGAGAAAGAAAAGATATGGGGATGGTTTTCTGGGATGAAAATTTCATTTCCATATCTGGCAGAAACAGCATATTCATATGATGGTAACTTTGCAAATACTGATGTCTCGCAGAAACAGCATATTCATATGATGGTAACTTTGCAAATACTGATGTCTCTTAGCCATGGTAAGACAGCTGTTCTTGAAGTTCTTGGATCTCTTCATTATTGTTTTCAATGAAGAGTGTTTACCTTCAAACCGAAGAGTGCTATTGTGGATCAGTGGACCAAACTCTTTGTACTGTGAAGCATAATGTAACATAAAGTGTGTTTTGGGCTTCACATTCAGGTGATTGTTGACATGGAAGAAGTCTTCCAAGAATTCTTCTATCAACAGCTTCATCTGATGAATTTCTCCATACTTCAGAGAAGGTGCCATAATATAGTCCAATATATTCAAATATTGGCAATATAATGCCCATTGCTTGTCATTAATGGGCACAAGATGACCAATTAGAAGAGGCAATAATCGCACAAGACATAAAGACTGGGCAGCTGTCTGTTTGATAGTTACTTTACTTCCAGATTCTCCTATCAGTTGAGTTGGCTTGTTAGTTTTATCTTTCCCACAGTAAGGAAAATTTTGAATTCTATCATTGAGTTCATTCAATGAGAATAATTCTTCATGGATGCAGTGTTCTAATACAACCTTAAGTATCTCAAAATGAAATCCTTCAAAGAGGTCATGGGCAATATCAGAAGGTGACCCCCAGCTAATGTGGAAGTATTTCAACTCATTTAAGATACAATCCTTCTTCAGGCCATAAGCAGTTGAAAGGCTTTGGTCAACTTGCATGTTTGCCAGCTTTGCATTGTGACTTTCTTTTGAAGTTCGTTCAAAACTTTCCTCAGTAAAATGCATGTTTCTACTGTCTTTTGTTGCATTACAAAACCGACAAGCCTTATATGATGAAAAGCTTTCAAAGTAGCCTCCCAACTCATGAGCCGCAAGGTTGTCAGCAATGACCATTGCTACAGTTCCTAAGAAACACATGGCTCCAAACTCTGTTTCAACAGTTATACCTTCATTTTCTAGTAGCTTCAAGTCATCAATAAGACATCTCATCACCAGATCTAATCCATGTTCTTTGATGTGTCTCCTTTCTGTCAATATTGCTAACCTTACCTTATGACCTTATGATGAGTTTAGGACGTCGCAGTCCACGGTCACGCTGATGCGCCGCCTTCGTCGTCCTCCGTCTTTGTTTTATATAGGGTAGATCCATTATCTGGTTTTTCAATCAAATAAGATATGTGTATCTGGTATTTTATTATAGCTTAAAAATATCATTCTGGTCATTCATCATTTTGGACAATATATGTAGTCACAATTCATGATGAGTTTGAAAAAATTTCTGCTGAGTTCTCATCACAATTCATGATGAGATGAAAAAGTTTGCACTGAATATCATTAAAATTATTTTAAAATTCATTGACTGATTCAGTTTTAAAAATTGAGGCTCTAAAGCACATAATAATAAATTATATCAAAATCTATCATTAACATCCATCTTTGTTAGCAGTCAATGACTCTGTAATAATTGCCGCTGCACTGCCTGTGCAAGGCAGAATTCAGGGGAATAATATTACAGTGCTGTCCTGTCAATCAATTACCCCAAAATATTTGTTAATATATTTCCCAAATGCCTGGCTACTTTAAATGCCTGGCAGGGCAGTTGGGAACTGAAAATCAGACTTTTCAAATGCAAAAACAACTCAGAACTTTTATGTAAGTAACCTCCATATACAGGAGGTTCCATTAAAAAATGTTCACTATACAATAGCATAGGTAGTACTAGTACCTACACATATCTTATTGGATCAAAATACCAAGATTTGGACATTCATTTTATAACTCATATGTGCATGGAGCTAAGGACCCTGATACGAGTTCATGAAGTTAAATCAGGGCTGAATTCTTGAAGAGTATTTTATAAATAGATATTAGTAGGGCTAAGTAGGCTATATACATACATACAATATTTATACGAGATTGAAAAATACTTGACTATAGTTCACTCTTTATGATTCAGCTTGATATGTTGGAACTGAGCAATTAACAATTAAGGCTTGATATATTTTCAATGTATTAATAATTATTTCTATAATTCCATTCAGTAAAATGTAGGTACCCATGCTGACAGGCAGTAGGTTAGCAAGCTGACTGAGCTGGCATGTTGTGAATCATGTGATATACCGTACACAGGAATTAAACACATTGAAATAGACTTGCCTTCAGTAACTAGGTTGCTATTTTATAGCTTGCAAATTTCCAGAATTTTAACCAAAAATTCCAGAATTTCATCCTGAATCTACAACACTCCACAGTCCACACCTCACCTCACAGAGTCACAGTCATTTTTCAGCATAAGCTTTTATTAAAGTTTTACACTTTTACTGGATTAGGTACATTGACGAAGTTACTCATTTCTAATGATTACCTACTCAACCAAAATAAATATTAGCGCGGTGACAAGTAATTTTCTCCATTACACACATTAAATTGAAAGCCGTAGTCAAGGTATTGTCACAAATCACAATCAAACGCAGCGAACTTATTTAAACTCAAATGTTCATAAATTAAATAACATAATTTGCTTCTTTATCACTCGAGCAGCAACAATCGACGCTGATTCATGAAAATAAGTTGCAACTGCAACTCTGCAAGAGCGTGAAAAGTAGGATAGGCGGCTACTCGAGTTGACTCGAGGCTATAGCTATAGTGATCAAGTATAATTCACGTTTCCAAGGCTTCTTTGAAAATATGCAAAACTTGGTAATCAGTTTTTATTTACAATTTATCAAGCACAGTAAAAAATGCACTTATCACTTGAGGCTCCTGTACCTAAATTAGGCTCGATCTTCATAATGGCACGACAAGAGGAGATGTTAATCGTAACAAAGATGGCCAGCGTCTTGCGCTTTGTTAGAAGACGCTACCGGTAGAGGGTGTTAATCGCGCCAGTTAAGTTGCCATTAGCTGCCATTAGCGAATAAAATATGGGAAAGATCTTTAGTCACAAGTCGAAAATTACCTTTTTAATCTGTTAGTATTTTTATTTTATCAAGTACAGTAAAAAATGCTCGTATCACTTGCGTCTCTGTACCTCAATATATGATAATAACACGATCATAAAGAAGCGGTTTCTGACAACTTATCTACGTGGCCAGCGCACTGAGGCAGTTCATTGTTATATGACGCTAGAGGGCGTCTCTTGCGCCGATTAAATTATCAAATAACAAATTAATCATAGA